TATACTAACCTAGTCAAAAAATCTGCGCAGCTCCAAAATAGACCAGAATCTTTGCGGATGATTCAGTTCGCATCTGCTCCTCATCACTGGTTAAATATTCCGGCACATATTTTGCTAAAAGATTACGCATGTTCAGGATAGTATGGATAACAAATCAATCACGCTCCTCCGAAATGTCCAGTATCTGGGCAATCCGTTTTTGCGGATATTCGTCTGCCCTTCCTAATTAGTTCATAAGCAGCGTCGTAAGTTGTTGGGACGTTGGACTTTGTGGACATACACTGCGTTGCTCATCTTAGATGTTGAAATGACTAATCTTGAAATGAGATGTTCGTGTTTTGACAGTGCTGTTGGAATGACCCTTTCCTCCAGTCTTTGTAACATATTATCGTGAATTTTCTTTCAATATTGACCGACACTTTCCGTCATAAAGATGGCAGCAAACAGAAAGTTGCTAGACTGCTCGATCAAATTATAAAAAGTTGAAATGGCGAGATAAATAAATCTTCTTGAGCCTCCTAACAAATCTCAGCATGGATTCCTCAGTAAACGTTACTGCACAACTTACCAGTTGCGCTAGTTAGATCCTATCCCAGAATCCATAGATTCCGGTTATGAGGTTGTTATTTTCGATTGGAGGGTCATTTTGAAGCATTTCTTGGGTGAATGGATTGCGACGCGCAATCTCAACGTGGACCGCAATTCCCACTGAAGTGAACCTTGGGCAATTCGATCACTGGAACTTTTCTACACTGTGCTCATCTGCTACTGTTTCCACTTCTTACACTCATGAGACTTCATCACACGCCAATTGCTTTTAAGCGAACAATCTTTGTTATAAGTTACCTGATTATTTTGTTTATGGATATTCCAGCGATTCTGGTTGCACCGCCCACGATAGAATTCAACGCATAGCCCTCCTTCGTCTCCGCTTTTTGTTCCATCTGGTGTGCGTCAACGTACGGCCACTGATGCATGTTGGATAACAACCCGGTCTAACGCGCATCCTTGAGTCGCTTGATGTTGACGTCTGATGCTTTTCCGATCCCCCAGCACTGTACTTACGCTGACATCTTGCACTAACCACGAAACCGGATATTACTTGCCTCTCTCTGGAGACCCATAAGCAGCCTCGGAGGGTTTGGTTGGTGGGATTATAGCACTACATTGGAAGACCGAGGCCGCACTGCTTGGCTGATCCCCGATTAACAGCCAACTGTGTGCATTTCGGCTTCTAGCTTCATGCGGTATTAACAGGCGTCGTCAAGAGAGACGTAGCTTGTTTGTTGTTTCCCCGTACACCTCAACTGACTATAGTTGTGACTCGGTCAAAACGGTTTTTTATGGGGAGCTTTATCAGCTCTTGAATAACGCTAACAACTCGTATGTCGTTGTCCTCGCTGAGGATTTCAACGCACGGGTTGGTCGCCTCTAATCATACGAACGTCACCTTGGTGGTCACCTCGCGCTCGATGAGGACCACTCGGATAACGGAGACATACTTCTCACATTGTGCTAAAACAAACATCTGTAATCGCGGACGCTGATTTTGGTATACAAAGAAACGCTCCCCAACTTGGCACCCACATTCGCTAACACAACCATACTCTCAGATTGTGGAATCGCGTACGGGACTGCAGGCTATCTTGGTCCACTTTCCTTGACTCAGACCTGTGGTGGGAGTGTCATGTCAGAGTAAACGGATGGGCCAACTGAGCGAGTTAAGCAGCCAGCGGGAGACGGGCGTAACGGATTCGATTACTGGCCTCGGATTGGCCTGCATGCGTTTGTCTAACTGAGTCAAAGGAGGAATCTCTTCGACTCAGGAAGATCGTTAGTTATGGACGTGAACGAGCGAGTTATGTCGAGGAGTTGGGCTTGCCAAACATGCTGTAAATTTTGCTGGGTTAATTTTGCCGATGAAACGCTTGTTGTTGAAGGACTGAGTTATGAAACATGGCAGCAGATAAAACCAAAACGAACCTACCGGCGGCGCTCGGTTGCTGTTTGAATCACCAGCAGCATTGAAACGCCTGTCCCATCACACATGGACGAACGGAACGTGACAAGTAATTGGTGTCTTTGGATGAGTTAGCAGATGAATTTCTGCTTACTATTACTTTTGAACGAGCGGCCGATGGCGTATCGCTTGGCTATGTTTCGACACGCAGCCGGGGATGACGCGCACCGTGTGATAGAGGCGTTGCACTACGACAAAGACGAATATCACACTGATTTGGAGGTGGTCATGGAAAGGTCAGTGAATTTTGCGAAGCTCAAATCAACGAGACTTACCAACGCTCCCTTTTCTTTTCGTGAAGCAGAAGCCCAAATAAATCCGTCGACGCGTACACCACTGAGTTTCAGATTTTGGCACGGTCCTGCCATTTCTGTAAATGCATGGGCGACAGTCTCATACACTATCGGATCGTTCTAGGAATCAGTGACGAAAGTATAACAAAGCGACTTTTGCGACAAAGCAACTTATCGCTCCAGCAGTACATTAATATCTGCCACATTGAGTCCTCGACCACGCAAAAATACCAACAAATAAAACTCGCAACAGTTGCAGAATTGTGTGCGGTTTCCGGCGGCGAGACAGAGAAGGCTACTACCGTGAGACATGAGATGTGCAAATTTTGCGATGTGCGATACCCGAGCACCCGCAAACAGTGTCCGGCGTGGGGTTGGAGATACGCCAAATGTAGAAAAAATGACCACTTTGCATGTTGCTGCCAATCAACCAATGTGCGTGCGCTCGTTCGTGACAAGTCACTGTTATAACAGCCCGTACTGAACCGCAACTCTTAGTAGAATGCTGTATTCGCACGTAGCGCATAACCGCAGAACATGTCAGTTTCAGCAGTATGCGAAATGTATTATGTCTTTCCATAAACAAAATTTTGTATGAGTTAAAACAGCTCAAGCAATGGGTAGCTTGGCGTTAAACTGCCATACACTGACGCTCGTGGATCCAGCTAATAGGAAGCAAGTGAATACAGTTTATTCGATAATTAGCTGGGCGTTAGAGTAACATACACTGCCTTTGGTGAGACCGACCAGACAAGTGTAATCAGCTCGATCGACTTGTCGGCGTACTCGGCCTGAGCGGCGGCATTGCGTAATACCCGATTTTATTGGTATTCTGCACGTCTTTCAACTCAGTGATCGGGTTTAGCATTGTGTCGGCTGACGGAATCGAGACGGAGCGGGGACGCACATATTCCTTGTGCCGAATAA